CCTTGCTCTGTGTGTGACAGGTAGAGCCATAACCTCCCCATTGGCCCTGCCCTGAGTGTGACAGGGTGCAGCACCCCAACCCCCTGATGGGCCCTGCTCTGTGTGTGACAGGGGGCGGTGCCCCAACTCCCCTATCGGCCCCTACTCTGTGAGTGACAGGGGGGAGCTCCCCAACCCCCTGATTGACCCTGCTCTGTGTGTGACAGGGTACGGAGCCCCAACCCCCCTGATGGGCCCTGCTCTGTGAGTGACAGGGGGCAGCGCCCCAACCCCCTGATCAGCCCTGCTCTGTGAGTGACAGGGGGCAGCGCCCCAACCCCCTGATGGGCCCTGCTCTGTGAGTAACAGGGGGCAGCACCCCAACCCCCTGATCGGCCCTGCTCTGTGCGTGACAGGGGGTGGCGCCGCAACCTCCCCATCGACCCTGCCTTGAGTGTGACAGGGGGTGATGCCCCAACCCCCCAGTCAGCCCTACCCTGAGCGTGACTGAGGGTGGCATCGCAACCTCCCAATCCACCCTGCTCTGTGCATGACGGGGCGGCGCCCCAACTCCCCAATCGGCCCTGCTCTGAGCCTGACCAGGGGCTGCACTTAGGGATTGGGCCTGCCCTCTGCCACCCGGGAGCAGGCCTAAGCCAGCAGGTCGTTATCTCCCGAGGGGTCCCAGACTGTGAGAGGGCACAGGCCGGGCTGGGGGACTCCCCTCCCCCCGCCCCCCGAGTGCACAAATTTTTGTGCACCGGGCCTCTAGTTATGATATAAAATCAATACAGTGTATGCTACATGATAAGGGTATAAGAGAGAAAAAAACAATATTTGTTTTGTATTAATAACAAAACACGGAGCAAAGACTCATGACAGTTATAGTCATCACTCTATAACTGGTCATGTGGTCATTGCTGATATTATAAATACTTTATTTCACTATCCTGTACTCCTTTGCTTTCAGGAAGTACCTCCACTGGTCACAGTTCTGTACCTGGTTGAGTGACCCAAATCTATATCCCTGAAGGGTCAGGGCCATTAGCAATTTTGCCTGACTTAGATTGTTACATTTTTTCATTGACCTTATTCACAGGGCATGGTAATACTAAGAGACGCCCAAAGGGATCTCCTGTATTCCTTACCTCCCACGTGGAATTGCAGTACAATTACCCCTTGGTAGTCAGGATTAATCACGCCAGCTAGCACAGCAACTCCCTTCTTTGCCTATTGACCAAGAGGCATGAAGAGCCCAAAGTGGTCAGGTGGCACACTTAACTTCCAATTCAATTGAATCATTGTTATGTCTCCTGGTAAAAGCATTCCTCCCTCTGGAACTAAGACCTGTAGGCTAGCAGAGCATGACATTGTGGGAACAGGAAACAAACATTTGCTAGTTGGCCACTAGGGGAAATAGTGGTGTCACTCCTGTTTCCATCCCTTGATTCCTGGAGATGGGAGAAACACTACTGTATATTGAATACTGATTCAGAGCATACACAGCCTTCCTGAGCACCCTGTCCCAGAAAGGTATTGTTACCTAACTGGCATTCCACTGCTCTATCAAACCAGCCACTTCACAATGGTACAGAAAATGGTAAGACCAATTAATTTTATGAGCATGGGCCCATTGCCACACTTCTATTGTGAAATGAGTTCCTTGATCTGAAGCAATGCTGTGTGGAATACCATGATGGTGGATAAGACATTCTGTTAGTCCATAGGTGGCAGTTTTAGTAGAAGTATTGCATGCAGGGAAGGCAAATTCACATCCAGAGTGTCTATCCAGTAAGAACAAAATGCTTCCCCTACTATGATGGGTCAATGTAATCAGCCTGCCACCCGATAGCTGGCTGATTACCCTGGGGAATAGGGACCACCCTGGGCCATATCAGGGACTGTGTTGATATTTGCTGCTGGCAGACTTGCACTCAACAGTGGCCAAGGCAGGCCAGCCTTTGTAAGTGGAAGTCCATGTTGCTGAGCCCATGCATAACCTCCATCTCTACCACCATGTCACTTTGCTCATGAGCCCATTGGATGACAAAAGGGGTGTCTGGGGAAAGAGGCTGACTGGTATCCACAGAATGGGTCGTCCTATTCTTTGCTGAGGTCACCCTTTGGTGGACATTCATATGTGATCCAAATATCTTCACATTTTTTGCCCAGAGAGTTCTATTTATTTAGCTCTTCCCTAAATTTCCTTGCCACCAATTTTCCAATCATGTTCCAAGTTTCTGACCATCCAGCCAAACCATTAGCTGCAGCCCATGAATTTGTATATAATTGCACATCTAGTCATTTCTCCTTCCAAGCAAAGTGAACAACCAAAGTGCTGCTCAAAGTTCTGCCCACTGGGAAGACTTCCCTTCACCGCTGTCCAGGGATGTCCCAGAGAGGGGTTGTAGTGCTGCAGGTGTCCACTTTGGAGTGGTACCTGCATATCATACAGAAACATCTGTGAGCCTGCCCTAAGTCTTCTCTTTATCAACTGGTTGTAGGGAACTCTGTATGAGGCCACTCATGCAGGCTGGGGGAGAGAATGGAGATCGTGGGCATTTGGGCCATTTCTTCATGTAACTTACCTGTGCCTTCCAGGACTGCTCATCACATACCTACCACTTGCATTTGATGATGGAGTGATGCTGTGCCCACACAACTTTATGGCTTGCTGGGTCAGATAACCCCAGTTTAGATAGTCAGCTCAAGTTGCATGGTAACTTGGTAATCCAGGGCTAAACATTCAGTCTCTACCAATGCCCAGTAGTTACCCAAGCATTATTTTCACCAAGAATACGATCTGCAGGGGATGGAAGGTCTTTTCTCAAAAATCCTGATGGCCTGTGTTGAGAATCTCCTTTAGAAGCCTTGCAAAGACTCCAAGCAGCATCCCCATCTGCTTCATCACATGGCCCAAATGGCAAAGCAGCTTGCCTAGCAGTCTGGACCTGTGGACTGAAGAGTACCAGGTTCAATTTCAGTCACAGCACACGCCCAGAGTACATCTTGATCCTCAGTATGGGGCATGCAGGAAGCAGCTGATCAATGATTCTCTCTCATCATTGATGTTTCTATTGTTCTCTCCTACTCCCTCCCTCTCTGAAATCAAGTTTTAAAAAATGCTATTTGCCAGGGAGAGATGGCTGGAAATGTAGGAACTCTCTTAAAAAGCCAAAGCAGATAGAAACATCTGCCCAATCAGCCCTTCCTATCAGTCTCTATGCGTTCTCCACTTTCCATCCTTGGTTATCAGGGTTCTCTCCAGCTAGTCTTCAGTAGATTATTCAAGATAGTTTTTTTCTAGTTAGGTATTCTTTTAAATAGGTTCTACATTTTATTTTACTCTATTGAGACATGGTAATACCAATTGGGTTACTACATGGAAAAGCCAACAAAATAGGTACAACTTGGCTAATGAAAATGAATCAATGTCATTGATGAGTCTTTAATAGCTCTATATAGTTTTGCAGATGATCAGTATTTCATCCAACTTAGAATGTTAACTGGAAGTTTTTCAGTATTTTAAAGTAGACCTGAAAAAACAGAAGTCAAAAAAGGCCAGGCTAGTTACACACCTATTAGACTAGCCAAAATCCAGAACACTGACAACAACAAACACGGGTGAGGATGTGGAGCAGTAAGAACTCTATTCATTGCTAATGGTAATGCAAATAGTGCAGCCACTTTAGAAGAAAATTCAGCAATTTCTTTCAAAATTTAACATACTATTACCATATAATCCAGCAATCATGCTCCTTAGTATTTACCCAAAGGGGTTGAAAACTTTTGTCCAAACAAAAACTTGCAGATGGATATTAATAGAAACTTTATTAATTGCTAAAACTTGAAAGCAACCAAGATGTCCTTCAGTGGATGAATGGACAAATAAACTCTGGTAGATCCAGACAATGAAGATTATTCAGTGCTAAGAAAGAAAGAAAAAAAGTCATCAAGCCATGATAAAAACATGAAGGAACCTTAAATGCATATTACTAAGTGAGAGAAGCCAATCTAAAAGACTACATACTATATGATTCCAACTATATGGCATTCTGCTAAAATTATGGAGACAGTAAAAAGATTAGTGGTTCCCAGGAGTTGAGGGGAAGAAGAGGAATGAATAGGCAGAGCACAAAGGTTTTTTAGGGAAGGGAAAATACTCTGTATGGTACTATTAAAAGTCATTATACATTTTGTCTAAACCCACAGAATATATGCTAAAAGAAAACTCTGAACTATGGACTTTGGATGATTATGATGCATCAATGTAGGCTTATCAACTGTAACAAATGTACCTCTCTGGTGGGGGATGCTGATAATGGAGAAAGCTATGAATGTGTAGGGTCATGTATATGAGAAATTCATGTATATGGGAAATATCTGGACTTTCCTCTCAATTTTGCTGGTAACCGAAAACGACTCTAAATATGTGCTGTAAAACCTAAGATGTTTTATTTTTAGTATCCTGATACTACTGCACTGTCCTGCTATCCCACCAAATAAAGAGAATTTGGAGGATAGGAAGGAAAGCTTCCTTTCATCTTGATTTAGTCAAGACTCCCTGAGCTATTTCTAGCCTAGCTAAACCTGTTCAAAACACCCACAAATAAAATGAATATTTTTCCCTGCCAATCATTTTCTTCCTCATGATTACATCAGATCTGCCTTTGAAGAGACGTTTCACCTTGAATGTGCATACTCCTTGGACACTGCCTTCCATCAACAAGTTGGTAAGGGCAAGATAAAATCCTGATTATAACAACAGGAAGTGACAAGACCACAAAAGGAAAATTTAATGACGTTACCAGCTATATCTGCTGGAACTTTTAGCCCATTGTCAACATCTGTCTTTTGGAAAATGAAGTGCTCAAACCTGATACTGATGATTAGTGTAAGGTGCAGGTCCATTTGCCGAGGAGAGGGAAAACAAACTACAACTTGATCCCATTTTTTTCCCCCAAAAGCAAAACATTTAAAGTAAAACCTGAACATTTAATTACCTTTAAATAATATATGAAATAATTTACATGCTATACATTCCCAAACACATTGAACATAAATCCAACTTTATAAGACATACACAATCTGCCTTTTGCCAATATATACCCTATATAGAATGTTAACTGATTTTTCAGTCCATGTGAGAACACCTAAACATACATATATGTGCCTCAAGTTGAAGACTGTAAGATAATAAACCAAAGAGCTGACTATAGAAAGTCTTCTACGGAAGATTCTAAAACCACAATCAGTATTGGAACCAAATAACAAGGCACAAAAGCTTTCCCTTTGTGGTCACAAAGATTAAGTTTCCTGTCCCAGTGCTTAAATATCACAAATTATATTTTATATACAGTGTATTTCTGTTACTGCTTATAAAGGGGTATTTTTATTACATAATTTGTTACAGAAAAGCATTGGAAAAATAAATGGGATTTGATAAGTTCTCATACAATAAAGCTTTTGTTCCACTTGAAAAAGATATTTATGCTCAAAACTAATAATAGATATAGGTATAATAAAGAGAAGCATGAATGGCCCTTTGCAGATTTCTTTATACCCTTGAATTATAGCTCGTGCCACCATGTTACTTACATTTTCTATTCTGAAGCCAGCTGGCTCCAGTCCTACCTAAGGCATCCAGGCCCTGTGTGAATGTGGGTTGCCTAACCATCAACTACCAGTGCTATTTTTTCAAAACATGGCAAAATGAAACTCTTCCCAGCAGTTAAGTTGTTTTTGTTAAATATTAACTTTGTATTGGGCTACCTTTCATTTTCCTCTTTTTACTTATATATTAACAGAAAATAGTATTCCATATAGAAATGACTGCTTTAAGATTCATATAATCAAGCAAAATATAACTATCTGTATTCCCCTTTTGATTTTTATCCCAAAATGTTTAGGTAAACTGAAAGTAAAATATTCTAGGAAGAGCAATAACTCATTGAGAGATAAAACAATTTTAAAATACGTACGTATTATTCATTGCTCTAAAAACAGCTTTAGAACTTTGTATTTTTAAAATTACAGTTATCAAAAGAATAAAGCCAACCACTAAATAAGAATCAATAGAATGCAGTAACCCATATATAAAAGATAGTCAAATGTGCTTAAAACATATTTTAAAAAATCAATAACCTATGTTGTAAATAAGTCATCAAATGTAGTACTAAGCAAATTGTAAATGGAATAAAAACTGTGGTTTCATTTTGACAAGGAAGTGGGATGAGCTACACATGAACTTAACAGTGTGCCTGTGCAACTTTCTATATAGGAGTACTGTAGCATGCAAGGCCTGCAGTAATGAGTACAGACTTCACAGATAAAACAAGGCTGGCAAAAAGAAAACCAAACACAAAATTCTGCTCTCGGCTATAAAACCTAAGAGTAAAGAATAAACTGAGATTTTAAGGCTTTCTTAGAAATCTTTTTCATGGCACAACATTAAACATCACTATAGGTAAAATATGTAAAAATTCAGTTACATGGTTGCATAATTGAAAGAACATGCCATGTCATTTATTAAGGGACTGCCTTGTCAAGTTCTGTTTACTGGTAATTAAATTATAGTTAAGTAAAGCTACTTATGTTTGATTCTAATTATCATATAAATCATACAGAAATGTCAATTTGCTAGTATACAATGCAAATTGTGTTTTGAATAAATGTCAATATCACTTGTTTCTTAAAGAACTGAAAGTCATTCCTTACTAGAAATGCAGTTACACTAACTCCTCTCACAAGAGCAGTTATTTTCCTTCCTTAAACAATTAATCTACTATTAAACTCTAAGATCTTTATTAGACAAATTCCTTTTCATCATGCACACAGATCATCCTTACAATGATCCATTTCTTGCATTACAGTCAGTCCAGAAAATACTCTAGGAGTCTAACAAGTCATTCTTGCCACACCATACTCTAAGCTGACCACAGCAGGTTCGGATTTGGAAAACTCCTCAGCGTATTCACTGTAACGATTATCCGCTGGGTTGCTGCCCTCTATAGTTCGAAGAGTATCATTCACAGGTAACAGAGTCTGCTCCTTAAAACATAGGGAGGTTTTGATGATAGGTGACTCAGGATGAACTGGATGTAACAATTCCTTGGTGAGAACTCCATCTATTTGCTCATTTTTGCGTTTATTAATTTTCTAGAATAAAAATTTGAAAAAAATTAATAATTGCACATAGTACATGTTTAAACAATTGTATATGAGAAATGTATATGAGACATTCACCCTGAGATCACAATAAATAATACAACACATACACACTTATTTAGCTAAAGATTTTATTGCATAAAACCTACATGGTTTTTCTACAATAGTTTGTTAGATGAGCACAACAGGCTTTAAAAACACAGAATTTTTTTAAAAAACTGAACAGAAGATTTTTAAAGTAATCTTTGGCAGAGTATGGCACTCTCCAAATCAGTGGACTAATCTGCCAACTAATCTTTCTGAATCACCTATATCTTGTGCCTGCCTCTTTTAACACATCCTCCTCCAGTTTACTCAAGCAGTCATTACTTGGATGACTAAGGAACACCCCTGCCTGAGAGACAGACAAGACCAAGTTATAACAACTGTCTACAATTTTTAAAATATATACTTGCTAATTCTTCCCTTCCCCTGGCTGCCGGCACTGGTTTTCCTCCGGCACCCAGGACCCAGGCCTTCGCTGCTCCGGCTGAAGCCTTCAGCCTTTGCTCCACCACTTTGTGCTTATGTATGCAAATTAACCGCCATCTTTGCTGGATTAATTTGCATACTCTCCTGATTCGCTGGTGAGCGTAGCAGAGGGATGGTCAATTTACATGTTTGTCTATTATTAGGTAAAATGGCAAAGATTATAGAAAAGTCTTAGGGTGGAGAGAAATTTCTTCTTTTTTAATGTTTTTTACATTTTTTATTTTTAATATATTTTTATTGATTTCAGAGAGAAAGGGAGATAGAAACATCAATGATGAGAGGGAATCATTGATCAGCTGCCTCCTGCACGCCCCATACTGGGGATAGAGCCTGCAACCTGGGCATGTGCCCTTGACCGGAATTGAACCTGGGACTCTTCAGTCCACAGGCCAACGCTCTATCCACTTAGCCAAACCAGCTAGGGTGAAATTTCTTAAACAAGGTACAAAAAAAAAAAAAAGCATAAAACAAAGATTGATAAACCTGACTATATTAAAATTCAAAGCATCTATACAAAATATGCTGTAAATAAAGTGGAAAGGACAAGCCATTTGTGATATATATAACTAAAAAAGAATCAGTGTCTGATTTATAAAAAAGCTCTTACAAATCAATAAGAAAAGGGCAGATAGGCCAACAGATAGGTCATTCACAGAAAAGGGAAAACCAAATGGCCAACAAACATATGAAAATCATTCAAATTTAATTGTTATGGAAATCCAAAACTAAAAACAATTTAAATGTTCAGCAGCTGAAAGGACAGACTGTGAGCTACTCATACAAGAGAATATTATACAGTAATCATTAACAAAAAAAATGCATTAAAGCTACACATATCAACATGAATAAATTTCAAAACAATGTTGAGCAAAATGAAGCACGACAGTATGTCAATCTCTATATATTTTTCAAACATGAAACTTCTTAGCTGAGTGAAAGGTACAGAGGCCTTCATGTTGTTTGTTGCCCTTTACACTGCATACAAAACCTATATTCTTTTTTATTTTTTAATATATGATAAAAATAGTATTCAGTACTATAAGTTGTGGATAGAAACATATATAGAAGTATACAAATGTTCACAGGAATAATTAACACCAAGTTAAGTGAAAGTACATGGGAGGAGCATGAAAAGGAGTATAAGGGTCTTCAAATATATCATGTTTCATTTCTTAAAACAAAAGCATGGAAGATCTGAAACAAATATGACAAATGTTACAATCTCACAAAGTTAGGTGGTGCATACCCTGATATTTATTATTTTATATCTCTACTTCTCTATATACTTCGGATATTTCAATATATCTTAAAATTCAGGAAAAGTGATTTAAACTAATCTATTCAAAATAGAGATCTAACTTTGAAGCAACCATGTGTATTTGCAAGGTTTCTATATATACTAATTTACACTAATTTAAGAACACAATAATACTAATACTCCAAATATATTACATTAGATAATTAAGAATACTTACAGATTCTAAGTCTTTAATGTCTTTCTCTAATTGTTTATTCTGCTCATTCATATTCATAATTATGTTACACACCGACTCCCTGGGATGCAACGTTCGATCAAATTGGTGGTACATGTTTCTCCAAAACCTTTATGACCAAAAAAGGAAAAATTTCAATAAATAAATGTATTTGAAAAAACAAGAATATAAATATTTAAAGATGCCAACTTACTTAAAATTGAAAGATGCTGTATTTGGCTCCAAAACAGCAAATTTCTGAGAATTGGAACTGTACAGTGGATTTAAGTACTTCTTTTGGTCATCCAGAAGAAATGGCCACAAGGAGTAAGTCTTCTCTTTTAACCTTATATAATGGGAGAAACATAAAACCTTTCTCACAGATGCCAATACTCAGTTTTATAAAGCAGGCAATTTTTTTCACAAGTAGATTTAAGTTTTAGTTTTTCCTTCTATTCATAGTCTAACATCACCTTGTCTCTGAATTCTGTATTCTCCTCTCCTTTTCTACTTATAGTAATTTAATAAAACCATGTTTATCAAACACAGGTATATTGTTTTCTCTCAAACCACATACTTTAAGAGATTCCTCTCTTAATTCACACAATTTCATAATCTTCGTCTGGTCTATGTTACACCTACTTCAAACCATCACACACATACAGCTGACCCTTGAACAACACAGGTTTGAACTGCATAGATTCACTTATACATGGGTTTTTTTTTCAATAAAGAAAGAATTGGCCCTGCATATCCCTGGGTTTCACATCCACAGATTCAACCGATCATGATCAAAAACAGTACTTTCAAACCCATGGATGCAGAAAATCAACTTTAAAAATTACATGCAGATTTTCAACTGTACAGGGGTCAGTGCCCCTAACCACCAAGTTGTTCAAGGGTCAACTGTATACTATACAATAAAAGGCTAATATGCAAATTATCCCCTCGGGAGCTCGACTGCTCGCTATGACGTGCGCTGACCACCAGGGGGCAGCGCGGAACGAAGGAAGACCCTGGCCGGCAGCTGTCAGCCGGGGGAAGGAAGGCCCTGATCGGCCCTGATCACCAGCCAGGCCTAGGGACCCTACCCGTGCACGAATTTTGTGCACCGGGCCTCTAGTATAGAATAAGATGCTAATGTATTTCTGTTTAGCCTCATTCTCCTAGCCCCATATCTGGGCTGTAATGGCATGTATTACAGGGCAGGGACAAATTTAAGTGTGAGTGGGTACAAAACAAGGAAATTAGGGAAAATCAGGACAGTATTCAAAAATTTAAAAATGCCAATTATACTGCAAATCTAAGAGTAAGTAGGTGAAGTAGGTGAAAAAAGTGTAGGTTATTTTAGATAGTCTATTTACCAAAGAAACATAAACCAGTGATACAGAGGAAACAGTGGAGAATCTGCTCATTTTTCCATAACCCCTAAGATAACTAATAGATATGTTCTTAAAGAAATACTAAAAAAAAAAATGTACTTTTATTACCATCTTTCTATTTATAAGGATGTTTGTTCATTCATATTCATAATTGACAATAGTTTTTCCTAAAATAGCTCTGTGCTTCAAGTCACCTCTCCTAATTATGAAAAAACCACTGTAAGATACTATAGCACAGAGGTAAAGTCCTAATGGTCTCTGATGTGTTCATCTCTGTCATACTCTATTTCACTTGTTATTCCCTTTACACATCTTTAGAATGTTCCACTTGCTCTCAATTCTGCCTTCAATTCTGTTGGGAGTGATAGTATGTGGTTGTCTTCAAACTACCACCAGATTTAGCCTCTCTAATATGTCACTCAGATCTTAAAAAATCTATAACTGCTCTTGACTGACTACTATAAAAAATCTAATCTTAGAAGCCCAACCTAATACACACACACACTTTTAGCCAGAAGCCCCTAATCCCAAAGACCAGTTAGGGAAGAACAGGTGTAAGACCCAAACAGGATAGACACACTGGAAGCCAACATAGGTACACTTATTTCCCCAAAGAACTGTCTATTTAGAAAAGGCTTCATGTTACCTTAAATTACCCAACAGTTTTACAATCTTTTACCACACTTTAAAACATTGAGACCAATACTTTCTGGGAAATGAAATGTAAAGATTTTAAAATATGTGTGTGTGTGTGTGTGTGTGTGTGTGTGTGTGTGTGTGTGTGTTCAGATTGGAAAGGAGCATAAGGGGTGTTTCGAGGGTGTTGGAAATATTTCTTATTCTGAGTGCTGGTTACACAGGTGGAAAAGTTTAACATTTATTGAGTTTCACACCTACAATACATGTACTTTTCTGTATATATACTACACTTTAAAACACATTTAAAAAATGTATTTCTACTATTAACCAGAGGATGTGAGAGATATTCAGAGCATACTTGGCTTCAGAAGTATAGACAATAAAATCTTTACAAAAAATTCAGTTCTATTTCATAATGTATTTTATTCAATTCAACCATAATTTATGTTAGTCCTCAGCTAAGAAGGAAAAAAGGAGCCCATTTAATCAAACAGTCTTACTTGAGTTCTTCTCTTTCCTTCTGACAATTTCCAAGGAAGTTTCCAAATTGGCATGAATGAATATGTTCATGAATCTGAAGAAGAAACGCTTCATTGAATTCAAAGTCTTGTGGAAACTGTTCAGTCAAATGCCACACACATTCCAAGAACTGAGTAAACACTGGTGAAACTTCCTTTGGGTCTCCATCCAAATGGCCACACCTAACCCCCCCCAGAGAAGTACAAGCTTTTAAAAATGCCTCTGAGAGAAATCAATTGTTCAGGTGTTGTTAAATTTAAACACACATTTAAAAAAATCCTAAAACATTATGCCATTGCAGAAAAAACTGCAATGTTTTTATTGAAACAATTTATACCTAAGTTTTTCAACCACAATTTTAAAGGATCTATTGCCTTCTACCTACTACAATCCAGACAAACAGGAAGGTTAATAAATTGCCTGAAAATTAACAGAGATATGAGAATTGAAATAAATAACCAAAAAAAAATTAGTCTTTATACAAAAAAACAAATCACACTCTCACCTCCCACTGGACATACAAGTTCATTAAAAACAAATATTTTGGCAGTCTAAACTATTTTTTCTAATTTTGCAAATTATGTAAATATATAACAGTGACTCACCTCTCTGAAAATTTATGTCCAAAGGAGATCCAATCCTTTTCTATTAAAACCTTAATGAAAAACAAAAACCTTAATGAGAAAAAGTAAAATCTACTTTATAACTACTTTCAAATATTTTTGTTTAGAATGGATTAAATCCTATTATCTTAAAAACCACATTTACACATTGCAAACAAAACAAAATGTTTTAAGATTATAGACCAGTGGTTCTCAACCTTCCTAATGCCTCGACCCTTTAATACAGTTCCTCATGTTGTGGTGACCCCCAACCATAAAATTATTTTCGTTGCTACTTCATAAGTGTTAATTTTGCTACTGTTATGAATCGTAACATAAATATCTGATATGCAGGATGTATTTTCATTGTTACAAATTTAACATAATTAAAGCATAGTGATTAATCACAAAAACAATATGTAATTATATATGTGTTTTTCAATGGTCTTAGGCTACCCCTGTGAAAGGGTCGTTCGACCCCCAAAGGGGTCGCGACCCACAGGTTGAGAACCGCTGTTATAGACAAAAGATAGCAAGAACCTAGATTAGAGGTTGGTTTAACAGAGTGAAGATGATCCATAAAAAGAAACACAGGAGTCTTATAATTTAAATTATTTCTATTGTATTTATTACATTTCAAGTGAAAAATGTATGTTATAAAGCACTGTTGCATTTACATTTTTGTATGTATAATGATTTTTGCCAAGAAAAAGGGCTAGGAAATGTAAATAAAAATGTTGACTCGAGTTATGTTTTAAACCTTTTCGCTTACTTGTACATTACTTATATAATAGCTAAAAAATGATAAAGAGTCCTGGCTGGTGTAGCTCAGTTGGTTGAGCATTGTCCCCCACTCTGAAGGGGGTGTGGGCAGCCTGAAAACGGCCCTCAGCCCCTCACCCAGGCTGGCCAGGCACCCCAATGGGGACCCCCACCCTGAAGGGGGTTTGAGCAGCCTGAAAACAGCCATCAGCCCCTCACCCAGGCTGGCCAAACCCCCATGGGGTGAGGGTCCCCACTGGGGGGCTTGACCAGCCTACAAACAACCATCAGCCCCTCACCCAGGTTGGTCCAATTCCCTGTCAAGGTACATGCCCAGGTTGCAGGTTCAGTCCCCAGTGGGAGGCAATCCATCAATGTTTCTCTCTCTCTCCCTCTCTCCAAAATCAATTTAAAAAATCCGTATTTTTTAAAAAGTGATAGAGATCACTGAAAAGTTTGTATTCAAGTTCAAATGTTAATATCTAACCTCTTGAATGGATGTATCTGTTTTCTGTCTGAAATAATAACACTCTAATTTTTTTCAATCTAACTAACCTAAACAACATATCTTCTTAGTATTTAATATACTTCATAATTTAATATATAATCACCAAGTATATTTTTTTCACAGTGTCCAAAATTGCCACTTTTAGCTTCTCTAATTTGATGTTAAATCTCTCAGAAGGCTATATAATGGGATGAGTGAAAATGCAGTTTCTGGAGTCAGAATGAATGGACTAAAGTCCTAACATCACCCCTTTCTTACCTGTGTGACCTCAGGTACATGACTTTCAGGCTGTAACCTCAAATTTTACTATGAGCCTCCTGCCATTTTTCTACACACCAAAAAGTAACACTTAAAATCTTTCTCACTAAACTTATTCCTCTGCTTATCTCCGTGAAGGGTAGGAGAACAGCACCATCCATCCTAACAACTGAGTTCCTAGCCTGGAAATCATCCTAGAAGAGGACTCCTCTCATGTACCCCACATCTATCCATGAATAACTCAAGTTATCACAATAGTTCCTACACTGGTCTCCTAATCTCCATTCCCACTCCCCTCTTCCTTTAAGGCACCAAACCATTTTTTTTAAAGCCCTCTAATGGTTCTCACTACCCAAATTCTAGTTTTCTCTTCCTCAGGCCCCCAATTCCCCTATATTCTTCTGCACCCAAGTCCCTAGCCCCCAACACTCATGCATGTTCAATCCCATGCAGTCACAGAGCTATGCTTTAACTCTCACTGCTCCTTTTGCCTGGGACACTCTCACGTTGTCCCTGGGTCATCTATAATAATAAAAGCGCAATATGCTAATTACACCGGAGAGCCAAACAACCTCCAGACATCATTCCAGACATCCTTCTGGATGAAACTGCGGGGGCAGGGGCCAAGGCAGAGGCAGTTAGGGGTGATCAGGCAGGCAAGCGAGCAGTTAGGGGTGATCAGGCAAGCAGGCAAGTGGTTAGGGGCGATCAGGCAGGCAGGCAGGCAGTTAGGGGCGATCAGGCAGGCAGGTGAGTGGTTAGGGGCAATTAGGCAGGCAGGCAAATGGTTAGGGGCGATCAGGCAGGCAGGTAGGCCAGCAGTTAGAAGCCAGCGGTCCCGGATTACAAGAGGGTGCAGGCCGAGCTGAAGGACTCTCACCACCTCCCCCGTGCATGAATTTTGTGCACTGGGCCTCTAGTGTATTACATGATTTAATTTGGATGTCTAACAAACAAATTAAAAACAAACATGGCAAAGAAAATATTCCTAACCTTACACTCTCAAAGTAAACAGAATATTATTTTATTAACAGCACTTCCATTTACCCTATCCCAGATTCAATATGTTAACACCACAACATAATGGTGCTAAAGGGACCTAGTGATGTCAAACCTTCCCTTGCTTTAAGATGGCACTGTATTTAATAATTCTAAACTAATGAAAACTTTCTCACATCTCTTCATTTACTTGCCATGAGTTAAGATATAAACTTTGAAAAGATGAGTTAATATGATCATACTTTAAAAACAAACAAGCCCAGTCAGTGTTGCTCAGTGGATTGATCATGTCCCATGCACCAAGAGGTTGCTAGCTTGATTCCTAGTCAGGGCACATGCCTGGTTTGTAGACCTGGTCCCCAGTAGGGGGTGTGCAGGAGGCAATTGATCAATGTGATGTTTCTCTCTTATCAATGTTTCTCTCTCTTTCCCTTTCCTTCCTCTGTCTCTAAAAATCAACAAAAAACAGCCCTAACCGGTTTGGCTCAGTGGATAGAGCCTTGGACTGCGGACCAAAGGGTCCCAGGTTCGATTCTGGTCGAGGGCATGTACCTTGGTTGCAGGCACATCCCCAGTAGGGAGTGTGCAGGAGGCAGCTGATTGATGTTTCTCTCTCATCAATGTTTCTAACTCTCTGTTCCTCTCCCTTCCTCTCTGGAAAAAAAATCAATAAAATATATTTTTAAAAAAATAAATAAAAAGAAAATAAAAATCAACAAAAAACATATTTAAAAAACAAACAAAACAGAAGGCAGGGCTTTAGCTTCACAAAGCAAAAAATATGTTCAACTACAAATTTAATCTTCAGATATAAAACATTCTTCCTAACATGTAACTACAATCTACACTAATAAAAGACAAAGATGTTAATTTACCGTACCTTCGCTACACCCACCAGCCAATCAGAAGAGTATGCAAATTAACCCAACAAAGATGGCCGTTAAATTTGCATACTGCAGGCGGGGTGGCACAGCACGATCTGCCCACCCTGCCGCCTGCCAGGGCTGCTGTGCATGTGCGCGGCCCGGTGGCCGGTGGGGCGGGGTGCGGCGGATCACGATGCGCCCGCTCCTCCCCGCCACGCCACCCGCCGGGCCTGCCATCCATGTGCGCGGCCCAGCAGCCGGCGGGGCGGGGTGCAGTGGATCTCGATCTGCCCGCCCTGCCCCACCGCCGCCGGGCCTGCCATGTGTGGCAGGCAGCGGGGCGGGGCGGGGCGGCGCAGCAGAGGGCCTGCCATCTGCGACCCAGCGCGGGATCCGGACTTGCCATCTGCCACCCGGGGAGCGGGCCTAAGTCAGCAGGTGGTTATCTCCCGAGGAGTCCCAGACTGTGAGAGGGCACAGGTCTGGCTGAGGGACACCCCCCGCCCCGCCAGTGCACAAATTTTTGTGCACCGGGCTTCTAGTTAACAAATAAAGCAGTATGAAACAGTTTCTTCTAGAACAGGGGTGGGCAACCTTTTTGTGAGTGCGTGCCAAAACCAGCAAAATCTCTGACTCAGAATTCTTCTGCGTGCCAACCCTAGTTTTTTGAGAACATGTTACACCTACTTGATATCTCTTAAGGTGTATGTATGTGAAGAACCTTGAAGAAATAATAAAATTCATTCTAGTGACAAAAACACAGTATATGATGAAAAATACATTTATTTTTTAATGTATACATGTACACTGATAGTCCAACAGAAAACTTTATGACTCTGTTTGATATTATCAGTGGGACTTTTGCTGCTGCATCACTGATGACAGAGATTTTACATCAGGTTTATATTTCGTGACCTTCAGAGATATAGACGAGCTACTACTTTCATCCGTCAGGCTACTCCTATTACGAGACTTAACAAAATTCATCACTGAGAACAAAGATTCACAAGCGTATGTGGATGAAACCAAAACACTGGTCGGATCTAGGAAGGCAGGGAGAGTTAAGGCAGAGGCATAGAAATTGCTCTTCCCCTCTCTCGTCAATCCATGTCTATGGTCTTTAAGATAACTTGTTAGGTAAAATTATTTATTTACCTAAGATGCACCTACACTGAATTTATCTGAAAAATAAAGAAGTCGATATTAAGAAAAAATTTGTAAATGGAAGATTATAAGAGAGGGTTTCGCGTGCCAGCAAAAGTTACTGGCGTGCCATGTTTGGCACACGTGCCAGGGGTTGCCCACCCCTGTTCTAGAATATAATTTTTAAGTATCCTTATTTCCTTGTTTTACTATATTACTCACATTAGATAAATATGAGGGGAAAATACTGAATATTTTTATTGTAACATCCTATATAATAAAGAGCTAATATGCAAATGGTCATCACGCCCTCACGCCCTTGTGCCGGGGGACCTGAGGACAAGCCAGGGGACCTGAGGCTGCGCCCCTCGCCCAGCGGAGCTTGACAGGGGACCTGAGGCTACACTCCCCACCTGGCGCCGGGCTCGGGGACTGGAGGCTGTGCCCCCCGCCCTGTGGGGCTTGACGGGGGTGGGGCTGGCCAGTCCTGGGTCTCACGCTATTTCGAGGCGCGCGCAGGTGGATGGACACTTGACTCTGGGTCCCATGGCGTGCCCCAGACTCTGACAGGAGGGAGATTTTCATATACGTTTTACTAATTTTCTTTCATCTCTGAAACTTCTATTACAGAGAAAGGGCAAATAGCAAAATTAAAATATTTCCTCTAATTAATTCCCTTTTCATGTGCATGAATTTCATGCACCGAGCCACTAGTTTTAGAAAAAAACTTTTATATCTAAAACTTTTTGTCAAAGAGGTGGCACAAATGAAAATCAGTCTAACTCCAGATTTCTCAACATCAGTACATTGGGCCAGATAACTTTGTTTTAGGGCTGTCCTGTACAATATGATATTTAGTAGCATCCTGGGGTTCCACCAGCTAACCCTTTCTGTTAGTTGTAACAATCAAAACTGTCTCCTAACATTACCCAATGTCTCTTATGGGAAGACCACTGGTCTAGCCAAATACAGGAAAACCTCAATATAACAGGCTAATTCAAGTGAGAGAGTATCTATTAAAACAGAAAGTCTGTTATATAATAAAGTAGGTTTTCCAAATGTGTGTTAAAAAAAGTTAAAAAATTAGTTTACCTGTTTTTACTTATACAGACACATTTGTATAATTAATATTAAGGAGGTATGAAAAGTTTAATTTCACAGAAAGGTTTTCTATGTGTATTACTGTAATTTTAAGTTTATACTGAATAAATTTAATAAATGCGTGCATTCACCAGTCACCAAGAGTAAACAAATGCACACGGCTGGGGCGTGGTTTAGCGCACATGGGAACTTCAGCTGGCACATGTTAAAACTGCTGTAGAAAGTCACGCCACGCAACAACAGAACAAAGTACTACAGGCAATGCTGTGAGATCATGTGCTAATCATTCCCCAAACATTGTTTATAAGCAGTGATTCTTGGATTTAAATATGTAGACTATAGCTGTAGATATGTAATATTTACTAATGTCGACAAAATTACTAGTGTTTTTTCCAACATATGGCTTATTCGCTAAAATTTGTTAAATACAGTGAATTAATAACAAAAAAATAACCTGTTAATTTGATTATAAGTAAATCTTGGTTAAAAGCTTTTTAAAATTAACAGGGTGTTAATTTTCACATATGACTTTCAGACCGGAAATTTTGTCCGTTAAATCAGAAGTCCATTAAGTTGAGGTCAGCAAAATCAAGGGTTTACTATAACTCCTTACCATGAATCCTTTGACTGTTCTGTAGTAGGAATCCAATAAAAGAGAGCCAAGGGAACAAACCTGGGAAGTTCTATCCCAGCCATCAGAACAATGAACCAACACACTTGCATTTTCCACCATTATTGCCTGAAAAGAAAGATCACATACTTAGATTCTAGCAGGATACATTTAAGTGAATCAGTAAGTTCTACTTACTCAAAAACCATTAAGTAACCTATATAATAAAAGCCTAATATGCTAAGTGTCCAACCATTCATTCGACCATTTAACCAGTCGCTATGATGTGCACTGACCACCAGGGGGCAGATGCTCTGACTGGTAGGTTAGCTTGCTGCTGGGGTCCGGCCAATCGGGACTGGGCAAGATGGACTGGGCAAGATGGGCTGGACACACCCTGGAGCCCTCCCGCAGTCCCTCCCTGGCCTCTAAAATATTTCTTCTAATTAATTTCCTTTCACTGTGCACAAATCCGTGCACCAGGCCTCTAGTTGCATTATAAAGAAGAGCTAGCACTGCAATGATAATGCTATCACAACATAATTTCTCAAAAACAAGATAAAACACAAAGCATATAAACAAAAACAAAGACAAACATGCTATTTAAAGTGTTTGAAATGTTTTTAAGCCCATACATGAAGTGTTACATGGCATTTTTAAAGCTCAAACTAAATGAACCTCATTAAAAAGGTAAAGCAAAATAAAAATTATCTGACTGGAAAAGATACCAGCACTCAATAAATCCATTCCTTCCCAACCACTATAAACCCCAAAATCAAATATAAGCGACGAAGAGTTACTTTGGCTAAGAAGATTGCAGCGTCCATGACAGCTTTGATATGGCGAAGCCATCCTGAGCTCTCCAAACCAGAGTAGAAATCATTGACAGAAAGCCCTTTGGTACCATTAACTGAAAAGGGGGGAGAAAAACATTTCAATTAGAATAGGCTAGCCTCCTCTTCTCCTATTCAAGATTATCTCTAAGTGAGTAAATTGGGGAAGAGGACAAAATAAATAGGCAAGACTCTTTATAAATGAAAAGATGCTATCAGAAATTCAACTACAGATTCTTTGTTACATTTTGCTGTCATTCCTTGTGGTTAAAAAAAGCACTCCTGCCCTAACCGGTTTGGCTCAGTGGATAGAGCGTCAGTCTGCGGACTGAAGGGTCCCAGGTTCGATTCCGGTCAAGGGCATGTACCTTGGTTGCGGGCACATCCCCAGTAGGGGGTGTGCAGGAGGCAGCTGATCGATGTTTCTCTCTCATTGACGTTTCTAACTCTCTATCCCTCTCCCTTCCTCTCTGTAAAAATCATAAAGTTAATAAAAAGCACTCCTATTTCATTTTTCAAATTTTGCAGTGTTTAATTAAAAAGTCTGATATTTTAATTTTTTAAATTCTATACCATGAGTAGAAAGATATCTTAATATTTAAATGGAACATTATCATAAATTAGTTTAAACTGCATTGATTCATCAAGAATATCTAACAATAGTAATCTATACTAATAAAAGGGTAATATGCTAATTAAACCAGACATCTTCCAGACAAAGGAGCTATCAGGCCGGCTAGGGAAGGGCAGTTAGGGGGCGATCAAGTCAGCGGGGGAGGACAGTTAAGGGGTGATCAGGCCAGCAGGGGAGGGCAATTAGGGGGCGATCAGGCTGGCAGGGGAGGGCAGTTAGGGGGCAATCAGGCCGGTAGGGAAGCAGTTAGGGAGCGATCAGGCTGGCAGGGGAGCAGTTAGGGGGCGATCAGGCCAGCAGGGGAGGGCAGTTAGGGGGCGATCAGGCCAGCAGGGGAGCAGTTGAGTGGGCAATCAGGCCGGCAGGGGAGCAGTTGAGTGGGTGATCAGGCCGGCAGGGAAGCAGTTAGGGGGCGATCAGGCTGACAGGGGAGGGCAATTAGGGGGCAATCAGGCCAGCAGGGGAGCAGTTGAGTGGGCGATCAGGCTGGCAGGGGAGCAGTTAGGGGGCGATCAGGTTGGCAGGCAGAGGTTGGGATGATCCAACAGGCAGGCAGGCTAGCGGTTAGGAGCCAGTGGTCCCGGATTGCGAGGGGGATGTCCGACTGCCGGCAGTCGAACATCCCCCAAGAGTTCCCGGATTGGAGAGGGTGCAGGCCAGGCTGAAAGACCCCCCGCCCCGTACACAAATTTCGTGCATCGGGCCTCTAGTTTTTTATAAAAACCATTAGCATTGTACTATCTAATACAGTAGCTACTACCCAAAATGACTATTGAATACCTGAAATGTAGGTAGTCCAAACTGAGATGTACTGAAAGTATATATTGTCTAAGACTTAAAGGCAAAAAATGTAAAGTAAATCATCACAAATTTTTTATACTGATTACATGTTTAACTTGTTTTTAATATATTAGGTTAAATATATTAAAATTAATTTCAACTGTTTCTTATTACTTTTTTAAATGTGACTACTAGAAAATTTCAAAGTACATAATTTAACATTTTTAATGTTTGACTAGCATATTTCTATGGAACAAGGCTGACTAGAAGGTAAGCAATAATCATACCTTCCAATAACTTCTGAAGGCTGGACCGCATGACATGAATATTTTCAATTCCAACAAACTGAAATCTAATATTAGAATAGTTGTCTTCATTTTCATAACCTTTTCCAGCTGCTCTGTTGGCTATTGCATTCAGCTAAAAATTTAAATTTTAGAAATTTAGAGACAAATTGCTTTTATCTTATAACTTATGAAAATATCATGAAAACACTAAATAAATTATATTTTAGCTAGCAGACAATTTAAAGGAATTCACCACAACTAAATATACCACCATTTTTTAATAAGCAAAACTCTCGCCCTGGCCTGTGTGGCTCAGTTCGTGGAGTGTCATCCTGTGCACCAAAAGGTTGCCATGTTCGATTCCCAACATGCCCGTAATGCAGGTTGGATCCTGGGACAGGGTGTATGGTAGGCAATCGATCAATGTCTTTCTCTCACACTGGTCTTTCTCTCTCTCCCTTCCTCTCTCCAATAAAAACATATAAAAAATAAGTAAAAGTCTCACATGTTAATAACGGCAATGAAGGAATACTATAAAGAAACAATGTGATTGCTATATAATTGAAAGGTCAAACAAGAAGTTCCCCACAAATAATTCATAAAACTAATTCACTTAGGTTTTTAGGTGTTCATAAATATTTCAAAATCTAAAACTAGAAAGATCTCCTATCTGAATCCTAAATGATTCAGAGAGAAGCAGAGCTGGATAGTTTTTATTTTTCAGAATGAGCCTATGAGATTCAACTCAGAACAAGCCTACAGCACTTTATCATTCACAAAGCCACAGGGATCCTAAAATTCAGATCTGAAAAATACATGAGATTATTTTAGGTCCTCTATATTAGAGACTGCTGGAGGCCCACACACTATATAAAATGCATATAATCCATTAGCTTGATACAGCTCTAAGAAATGGTTCCAAAAAAATTGGTCCTTTATGGAGAAACAGACTGCCAGTAGCCCCATGACCTTGGGTGTTTAGATCGATGCTATCAGAGGTTCACTTAAGATTTGCCATATTTAATTCTTTGAGAGTAGGATTTCATATAGCATATTATTACAATTTACTAAATATTCTATGTACTTGGATGAAACAGAACCTAAATTTTAGGAAGAAATAGTAGCTTATCATTCATTGGATTGAGGTTGGTAACAAGTACAGTTAAATTATATTTACTGACTCACTGGTTATTCAGCACCTATGATTACTAAGGTTAATGATTAGATATTTAAAATGTTCCACATTATTACTACTTGAGCTTAACTGGTCAAACAAAACAATCAAAGAAAGATATATTTTCTCTGTAGAAGTCAGTTATACAATTAAGACATATTAGGTCCTAAGAAACAAATTGCCCTCAGACCTTATATTCAAAAAGTCTTATATTACAATCATCTTTTTTATCTAATAGCACCCTAAAAATGTTCTAACCAATTAATCCACCCAGATTATACAAGGAAGTAAAGTAAAATTTTTCTTATAAGAGGTATCACCAACACTCTTGACTTCTAAGAAAGTCTTTTCCTTTTAACAAAATAAAATATTACCAAAGTATCAGTTTCTAATTTTTAATACTCCTGATTTACTCAAATTAATCTTATCATATGTTTTCTTCATTATCTTTTGTAAGACTGCATAATGATGAGAATTACTTCTAAAACAGCTACCATTCCTTTCAAAAAGGCTGTCTATAATTGTGGTCTATATGGCTCACTCGCTTTTTCTCATCGCTTTCTCTTATTTTTTCATCATTCCAGATTTCTGAAGAAATCCTCACTATAATTCTGCCAATGTCCTTTTGTGTAGCCCACCAGCTCTGCATGCGATGCTATAATAAAAATTAAAAGTAATGTTAGCTATTACCATTGCAGATTTTAATTATTTTAGTTTCAGGATCCTATATGAATTGGCTGTTTAACTGTGTTTATAAAAAAAAGAAAAAATGGATTGTGACATTTGACAAAAATTTAACCTTACACAATGGATGGCTAACAGAACAATTATTTCCTGTTCACTATTTATGATGCTCTAGTTCAATGTTTCCTAAGTTAACTCGCTATGTATTTTACGTATTTTCTTACATATTTCAAATTAAGGTCCATTAATACACAGTGTTTTGCCAATTGAAATTCTAATAGAATTGCTAATTTTTCACAATACACAAACTATTTAGTATTTCTTCACAGTAACATAATACTTTTACACCATCAATAGTCAGCTTTCCTAAATATATATCAGAAATTAAGAAATTACCATCTGGGTTACTGGGAAATTAGTCTCCTAAGTTAGTATCCTTTAAAAAACTAATTTCCTTAGTATCACTATCCTTGGTTAATTTAAAACAAGGATTCAGTCCAGTATGTTAAATGAGGACAAATTAATCAACTCTCATTAATTAAAGTAACAAAGATAATTGAACTAACAGACTATACTGTATTCAAGGCACATACTTTAGGCCTGGTATCCACGACATACATATAGCGATTGGCTGGATTGGCTTTACTAATGGCTTGAAGCAAATGTTCATCTTCCAGACACCTGGCACTGAATCCTGACAGTGGTTGACTGCATCGACAAATGGCAGCCTAATTTTAAAAAGACAGAAAACAGATTATGCAAAGATATCTAAAACATGTCTTATAAAATGCTTAAAAGGAAAAAAAAAGTTAAAATCAAATGTACTATCTGTTTAAAAGTTGGCAGGACAATTACAAGGCATTAACTTTGAAATCTTATTTGAATTAAATATTATTTCAACATCTTGGTGTTACTTAATTTTTCCCAATATTCTAAGAAACCTAAATGCCTCCTTACCTAGTTGGATAAAAAAAAAAAAGTCTTGGGTCCTTAGAAGCAACACCTGGTCGAATCTCTATTACCTAACTGAAGATACTTGCCTTCTGTGCCCTAGATTATAAAATACTTTCAACTCAAGTTCAAGTAAGAGATCAGTCAATAAATTCAGAACAGAATTTTTTTAAATAGCAAGCAACATTCAAACTTTTACTTTCTAAAGGTTTTTGGGTCTCTAATTAGAAATCAGCAATCTCTATATAAAAAGAGATATAAAATGAATTTTAAATCAAATTTGGGTTAAAATACAGTCAATCTAAGAGGGCAAAAATATCTATAAGAAATAGTGAATGTTGGATTAGATATTTACTGTTGTTTAAAGTCTTTAAAAAAACTCACAAAATTGTGATAAAATAGAAAAAAAAATGAGGATTGTCTTATTAAATGTTTTCCAGACCTACTTCCTGATTTGTTAAGCTGGGCATTGAATGTCTATTTTTAGCCCAGATTTCCAACTAAAAATGTATATTCAAACATGGGTGTGACAAACGAAAACCATAACTACTCCTATTTCCCTATGATTTTGTTATGAAAAGTAGATTAGGAACTTTTGTTTAAAGTTTTACTTATTATCTATGGCTCCCTTCTAAAACCCGCCTGGAATTTCTAATAAAGAAATTTAATATGTATAAAACCAAAAGGTCAAAGAAAATGGGAAAAGAGGCAAAGATAGAGTAGAAATGTCAATAAAAATAGGGGAAATGAATGCAAATTGATTATAACCGATTTACCGGAGCAAAGAAATATGTTAAATCATTATGAGTCAATAAGAAACAGGTATTTTGAACAGCAAAACCCCAGACAGGCTAAGGATTTGGTACCTCTGAAAGCCTGAGTGCAGGTAAAACGGAAAACAACAGAGCTGGCTGAACTTCTATATATGATCTAGTTAACAATCCCAGATGTTCCCTCACCCTGAAGAAAAAGTTTATTCTATGAAGAGGATTAACCTGAAGACTCTGGGCTGTAGGAACAGCTGTAGTTGGGGATGAAGCCCTGCATCCCCCAAAGACAGGATTAAGCAAAGCCTGCATAACAAAAAGTGAGGTCTTCCCATCCCTCTTCCCACACTTGGGTCCAGACTAAACCACACACACATTGGGACAAACATTACAAGAGAAAGAAGAATCCAAAGATAACGAACATTCACGTATACAAACTTCTAAACAGCTTTGTAGTACCTCACTCTTAAATATGAGAGGCAGGCCAAGAATCAGATATCTGAAAAATACGAAAACAAATTAACAAAAAACACACAAAATAAACAGAAAAAAAAAAAACTAAACAAAGAGATAACTAATGTGGGAGCACAAGAATTCTTTTTTAAAAATCCTTAGCATCTTCAGAGAAGTAAGTTCATCACATCCAAGAACAGAAAATCATCTAGAAAGTTCAGAAAACAAGAAACAGTTCTTGGATTTTTAAAACACAGCGGCTCGGCCAGTGTTGTTCAGTGGTTGAGCGTCGACCTATGAACCAGAAAGTCAGTTTGATTCCCAGTCAGGGCACATGCCCAGGTTGCAGGCTCGATCCCCAGTGGGGGGGATGCAGGAGGCCAGCAGGTCAGTGATTCTCTCTCATTAATGTTTCTATCTCCCCCTCTCTGTTCCTCTCTGAAATCAATAAAAATATATATATATTTTTAAAACACTATGGCAAAAAAACAACAACACAGTTCTAAGCACTGGATTGGAGTGAGGTTCAGGAAATCTTCCCCACTACCCTGAATCTTGTGGTGAGACTTACGGACATGTCTAAGCATAGAAAGACATAGAAGATTGGAGAGAAAATGAAAAAAAATGGAGGTTTATGCTAGGAAGCCTACTTGTCAAGTAATATTCACAAAAGTAAAAAGAAAGTTAATGCCCTAACCGGTTTGGCTCAGTGGATAGAGCGTCGGCCTGTGGACTGAAAGGTCCCAGGTTCGATTCCGGTCAAGGGCATGTACCTTGGTTGCGGGCACATCCCAGTAGGGGGTGTACAGGAGGCAGCTGATCGATGTTTCTAACTCTCTATCCCTCTCCCTTCTTCTCTGTAAAAAATCAATAAAATATATTAAAAAAAAAAAAGAAAGTTAATAAAAGAGAGGAAGTTACCAAAGAAACAAAGAAGCAACTTCCCAAAACTGAGACCTGAATTTCCAGATAGAATTTAAAACAATAAGCCAAGGCACATAACTGTGAAATTTTAGAACACTGCAGAAAAGGAAGTTTAAAAGCTTCCTGAGAGAAAAAAATCAGGTTACAAAAAACTGGTAGTCAGAAACGGCATCCAAATACTCAACCTACCAGTTGTGAGATATAGGAAAAGTTATTTATCCTTTCTGAACCAGTTCCCCCATTTGAAAGTTATAGGTAATTTGCAGAGCCTATTTTATCAAGTTACTAGGAGGATTTCATGCATATAAAGCATTCAACATACAGTACCTCCTGGCCTACTGTTACAAGATACAAAGGTTTTACTATATTGTCAATCCCTATCTCAGTATAAAGATGCCTCCTCTGCCTCTTCATATTACAAAATCCTTCCAATTTGAAGAGCTTACTATTAAATGGGAGCCTGAAATATCCTTGATTCTCTCCCTTTTCTCAATAGTTGGTTTGTCAAAACTATTTGGTTTTCCCCAATACAAGCAGGATCAAAAGATAACCACTTGCAAGGAAGAGAATCTACCTAATCCCATTATTTTCAAATCGCTACTAAAAGGAAGGAAAGAATAGAGGTGGTGGAGGTGAAAGATAGATGACAAGTACGAACGTTTCTGTATTTCAGGGTAATTTTGTTTTAAAATATAAAAAATGTCATTAAGTGAAAAGCCAGCACTTCTCTATCAGCAATATTATAATAATGACATCTTAATATAAAAGTGAGCATTGTTTTGGATACTAAAACCTGAAAGGGGTTATACTACATTGGTAAAATCAAAAGGGAAGTTGCCTACCTCCTTATTTTGATGATAGTAGGAAAGAACTGGAAATCTTCCCTTGCTCCGGAACTTAGAACTACCAACAATTATTGGTTTGCTTGCTATTCGGGGAACATAAAGTTCTCTAGGATAAGTTTCACAAATCTGTAAAAATCAAAACATAACCATGAGGTTAAAAACCATCTTTATAAAACTTTAAAACTTACTAATGCAAGAACAGCACACAGCAATACAGAGACAACTTGCTATTACACTTTCTGACTCTCTGGTACTAACATTTTCTGAATTTCCCCAGAAGGTTGCTAAGTTACCTTGTATTCTCGGTTAGCATCAGACAACTGCCAGTTTGAATTTGGCACGCCCATTCTCTTATATTCCTCGGCAAGGTCAATAAGCTGCCAACCTCGCAGTCGTTCAGAATCATTTTGTTTGGGGTTATAAGAGAACGCATAGAGATCTTCATATTTTGCTATAAAATACAAAATGCATAAATGTTAAAATGCAACTTATAGGACTTAATAAGTGACAAATAAAAGTAATTTTCAGTTTTAGCCCTCCTTTTTCTTTAAACTCTTCAAAGAGATGGCTAATACCAGAAAATATTTGAACTTAAATTTTCTCAGTTCTTTGATGCAAATGATTATACCCAAAGGCATCACTATATCAATCTGAGATTCAATTTATATCATCAGTAAAAGCTAGTAAATAATACAGTTAGACTTATACATTACTCTACTGCAATGTTTCCTTTTCTTAAAAGTAAAATTTTAAAGACACACATAAATTCCTACCCACCACTATTCCCAAATGAGATATAAAGACTAATGCTATAATGAAAAATTAGAGGTGCCACATAGAACATGAAATTGTCTATATATTCCTATAGTACAGTTTGACCAAAAATGGCAAAGGTTGCACAGAGATCCAGAGAACACTTACTTCTAAACAATCATAAGCCCCTGAAGTTTTAAGATTTGACTTGGAAAATGGGATAAATGTTACAGGCTTTATGTGTTAGGATAAAAGAGTGAACAAAAATCTGCTCTTAGACCACTGCAAACCAAGTGTCAAACAAAGTAACATCCGGAAATTAATGTGCTTTGTCTCCCTGGAGATATCTATGTAATTCAAGTTATGTTGGGAAAAGGAAGCCTCCAGATCCCTAACACATAGTAGTGGTAAGATTCCTCTTTAGGGCCTATATCCCTCTCACTCCTTATCTCTACTAAAGTAGGATTTACCCTCTCTTTTCTTTCTGCTCATCTCCCTATATACCACTCTAGTCAATTAGATATATTAGTCCCATGCTATCAGAAGAGCCTGACCTTCCTTAACTTTTCCTTTAGTGATCAATTTCCAAGACACTCCCCTTGGCTATGGGATTCTTTAAAAAACAAACGAACAGCCGAAACCGGTTTGGCTCAGTGGATAGAGCATCGGCCTGCGGACTAAGGGGTCCCGGGTTCGATTCCGGTCAAGGGCATGTGCCTGGGTTGCAGGCACATCCCTGGTGGGAGATGTGCAGGAGGCAGCTGATCGATGTTTCTCTCTCATCGATGTTTCTGGCTCTCTGTCTCTCTCCCTTCCTCTCTGTGAAGAATCAGTAAAGTATATTAAAAAAAAAAAAAAACGAACAAAAACACAAAGGCTATGCTACTGGCTATCAACAGACTTCTAAAACATTAATATAAATCTACTAGAGGTCTGGTGCACAAATTTGTGCACAAGTGGGGTCCCTCAGCCTGGCTGGCGATCGGGACCAACTGGGGGGTGGGGGTGGGGGCCAGCCAGCCGGGGGAAGGGACCATGGGAGGTTGGCCAGCCCCCTCCCCCCCCATCAAGGCCAATACGCGGGGGGAGAGGGGGCGGGGGGAAGGACCATAGGAGGTTGGCCGGCCAGGGGGAGGGACCGCGGGAGGTTGGCCAGCTGCGGGAAGTTGGCTGTGGGAGCACACTGACCACCAGGGGGTAGCTCCTGCATTGAGCATCTGCTCCCTGGTGGTCAGTGCACGTCATATCAACCCGTCAACCGGTCATTCGGTCACTTAGGCTTTTATATATATAGACTAGAGGCCCCGTTCACGGTTTCGTACACTGGTGGGGTCCCTTGGCTTGGCCTGTGGGGATCGGGCCGAAACCGGATCTCCGACACCCCCAAGGGGTCCTGGATTGCGAGAGGGCAGTTCTTGGGTGACGCACCCTGGAATCGGGCTCAACCCTCTCTGGTCCCGGCTGTGTTACCCGAGAACTGCAGCTGTCAAGTCACTGCAGCTTGGCAGCTCCCACATTGAGCATCTGCCCCCTGGTGATCAGTGCGTGTCATAGCTACTGGTCGGAGTGTCTGCGCCCTGGTGGTCATTGCATGTCATAGCTACCGATAGGATCGCTTAGGCCAGTGGTTCCCAAACTTATTTGGCCTACCGCCCCCTTTCCAGAAAAAATATTACTCAGCGCCCCCTGGAAAATTAATTTTTTTTAAATTTTAACAGCAATTAAACAGAAAGATATATGTATTAATGTTTCTACCTTTTTCGTAAAATATAGTAAAGAAAGGTGTAAATTAGAAACATTGAAGTTTGAAATCATGAAACTATTTATTGAACTCAGAATAGAAAGGTAATACAAAAAAAGTTAAAACAAATGCACCTGTGGCCATCACCGCCCCCCTGGATCGCTGCAGCGCCCACCAGGGGGCGGTAGCGCCCACTTTGGGAATCACTGGCTTAGGCTTTTATATATATAGATAGTTTTTTAAGTCTGTACTACAAATGCTTCATTTTGTTCTATCACCCCTTCTTTGGAAACCATTATTACAACTCAGATCAGAAGTTTCTAATTACTTTTAGGTCAAATTTTTTAGAATAGAGTGCACAAGAATTCAACTCAAAAGCAACTTACCATGTGTACCGGTTAATAATGTGGATTTTGTGATCAAGGAAAACACGATAATTTCAAGAGAAACATCAAAAGTGCTTTATTCAAAATAATGTCCATCGCTATCTACACATTTCCCCCATCTTTCAGGTAATTTGTGGATACTGTCCCAATAGAACTTTTCTTGTTTTGAGGCAAACCATTCAGAGACCCAATTTTCTACTTCTTCGTACGTTTTGAAGTGCTGCTCAGAAAGTGCGCATGCCATCAATGGGAACAAGTGATATTCTGAAGGAGCAAGGTGTGATGAATACGGTGGGTGGGTTAATACTTCCCAGGCAAGACCTTTTAACGTGTCTTTAACTGGTTTTAAAGTGTGTGGTGGTGCGTTATCATGAAGCAAAATTACTTTGCCGTGTCTTCTGGCCCATTCTGGTTGTTATACGATCAAAGTGTGGTTCCAATTGATTATTTGTTGTCAGTAGCAATCTGTATTAACGGTTTCACCTGGTTTTAGAAGCTCATAATACACAACTTCCTGATCCCACCAAACACAGAGCATTGTCTTCTTTCCGAAGCAATTTGGCCTTGCAGTCGATGTTGATGGTTGACCTGGATCAACCCATGATTTTGTCCGTTTGGGAATTAGCAAAATAAATCCACTTTTCATCGCCAGTCACAATTCGATGCAAAAAAGACTTTTTTTTCGTGTCGTTGAAGCAACATTTTACTGATGACTTTTCGGTTTTCCAATTGTCTTTCGTTCAGTTGATGTGGCACCCAATTTTCCTTCCTTTAAAATTTGTTCCCATTGCTTAATGCTTGTAATTGTTGTTCAAACATTTTCGGTTGACCAGGACGTTCTTTGCCTTTAACATCGAAATCATCACTTTTAAAGCATTTAAACCAGCATTCACAAGTATCTTGAGATGAAGCATGTTCACCATAAGCTTCCTGAAGTATACGATAACTTTCAGCAGCACTTTTCTTCAAAATAAATGAAGTAAAACTTCCCACAAATGCTCTTTTTTTTGGTATGAAATTTGACATTTCTAAGCGTAAAAATATCTACGATGTTAACACCTTCAGAAAATTTGACATATGAAGTTTTGAAGCTTGCTGTCAATACAACAAAATAGCATATATATCAAATCGCATATATATCAACATATGTGTAACTCCATCTATTGAAAAAAATCTACATTATTAACCAGTACACTTGGTAAGCCCAGCCGGTGTGGCTCAGTGATTGAGCGTCGACCAATGAACCAGGAGGTCACGGTTCGATTCCTGGTCATGAAACATGCCCAGGTTGCAGGCTCGATCCCCAGTAGGGGGCATGTAGGAGGCAGTGGACTGATGATGTGTCTCTTTCATTGATGTTTCTACTTCTCTGTCCCTCTCCCTTCCTCTAAAAAAATCAATAAAAACATATTTTGTTTTTAAAAAAAGAGTAACTTAAACTATAAAATGGCAATAATGAGATACTAAGTAAAGTACCTTAGATAATCCATCTCAAAATTGAGCAAGCTTTGGTCTCTAAGAACAGTACCTTGTTTTGACAGTTGTAGCAAAGAGTTGTAAATATCATGGCAATCTCTTTCTCTGGGAACAATGAAATGCACAATCCTGAAGTTCTTGCACTGAATCACAAGTGGGCATCCAGAAGTCGTCAAAGCCAATTTCTCCACTGAGCCAATATGATGATGCAATATCTACAGCATGAAAAAATATTTATCGTCATTATAAAAAGTACTAAGTATCTTATTCTCTTCCACAGTGCAAAAATGTTAGAAATGTCCTCTCCAAATAAAGTCTCAAATGTTATACACTACAAACCCAAACTTAAAAATTTTAAATGACATTGCCCAAGCCAGAAATGTACCCTGATCACTCCACATATTCACACATCATTAAATCCCAAAAATTGCATCCCCTAAATATCTTTATAACCTGTCTACTTCTCTCCATCTTCACTATCACCCCCTAATTGCAATGTTTACATTATTTCTCACCTAAATTACTATAACTATCATCCTAAATGCTCTCTTCATATCCTACTCTTGAATCCCCCAATCCATTTTCTACAAAGCAGCCAAGTAACCATTAATAACCCAATCAAAAAAAAAAAAAAGGCAAAGCTATCTAGTTGTTATTTCCCACTTCTCCCACCCTGCTTAGCTTCTGAGATCATATAAGAGCGGGCACATTCACGGTGGTATGACTATAGATTTTCCCACTGCTCTAGCCTCATTTCAAGTTCCTTCCCCAACATCGTTAAGTTCTAATGACAAGAGCCTTCTTTGGCTCCTCAAAGGAACCAAGATCCTCTATATACAGTCTTGAGTTGCTCCTACTAACTGGGATATTGTAGCTCTCTACCTCTTCACCTAGATTTCTAGTATTATTTCTGGTGTCCACTTAAAACTCATCACCGAGCCCTAGCCAGTTTGGCTCAGGAGTTAGAGCATGGGCAGTGGACTGAAGAGTCTGGGGTTCAATTCTGGTCAAAAACAAAACAAAACCTCATCACCGAGAAGTACATATAGCCTCATAATCATCATGGCCCTTCCCTCCATTTTCTTATCAAATATCAACCTAAATTCTTCCTTTCATAGCACTTAGTACATTTGTAATTTGTTATGTAGTATATGTTTATTTCTCTACTTAGATTTTAGAAACTTCACCTAAGAAGCAAAACTATACCTAAGTTGAGCACCATTATATTTTTAGCACCTAACACAGTACTTGGAACATTATAATGACCCTCTTCAAACAAAAAAACATTTCAAGTGATATATATTACACATTCATATTTAAATTTGACTGAGCCAGAACTATAGGCATCATTGTTGGTACCTTCTCCATCACAAATACTCACTGAATGAATGAATGAATGAATGAATAGAAAGTCCTATTAGAAAGTCAGGACTTGATGGTATTTGAAACATAATTATCATACCTACCTATTACCTATCATATTCTGTGCTACTAAAAAAGATTTTCCTTTGCTCAATAGCATTCCTACTAATTTAAAATGTTTATAAAAAACTTTTATGGAAAATAAAAGATCTTAAAATTGTAGCAGGTTTTTGGATGAAAAACTGAATCCTGGCAAGAAATCAAATCATCCCAAATTAGTCTAAAAATTTAACATAAATTCCAACCTGCTTTTTTAGGTAGTATGTGTGTGGGGGGAAAGGTAAGGTGAGATATAGATATGTATTATATAATTACTAGAGGCCCGGTTCACAAATATTTGTGCACTCGGGGGGGAGGGGGGTCCCTCAGCCCGGCCTATGCCCTCTCGCAGTCTGGGACCCCTCGGGAGATAACGACCTGCTGGCTTAGGCCTGCTCCCGGGTGGCAGAGGGCAGGCCCAATCCCTAAGTGCAGCCCCTGGTCGGGCTCAGAGCAGGGCTGATTGGGGAGTTGGGGCGCTGCCCCCTGTCATGCACAGAGCAGGGCGGATTGGGAGGTTGCGATGCCACCCTCAGTCACGCTCAGGGTAGGGCCGATTGGAGGGTTTGGGCACTGCCCCCTGTCACACTCAAGGCAGGGTCGATGGGGAGGTTGCAGCGCCACCCCCTGTCATGCACAGAGCAGGGCCAATCAGGGGGTTGAGGAGCTCCCCCCTATCACTCACAGAGCAGGGCCCATCAGGGGGGTTGGGGCTCCGTACCCTGTCATGCACAGAGCAGGGTCGATCAGGGGGTTAGGGAGCTCCCCCCTGTCACGCACAGAGCAGGGCCCATCAGGGGGTTGGGGAGCTCCCCCCTGTCACGCACAGAGCAGGGCCCATCAGGGGGTTGAGGAGCTCCCCCCTGTCACTCACAGAGTAGGGCCGATAGGGGAGTTGGGGCGCCGCCCTCTATCACCTACAGAGCAGGGCTGATCAGGGGGTTGGGGCGCCGCCACTGTCACACTCAGGGCAGGGCCGATGGGGAGGTTATGGCTCTACCCCGACACACACAGAGTAGGCCGTGGGGGGGG